CCCCCATATTCATAATTCAACAAAGTAAATCAAGCCTATATTATCAAATACTTTGAAATAAATTTCTGGAGAAGCAGTGACATGTGACACTCCGATAAGGTAAAATGATTCCTCCAGCACACAGTGAGCTATCCCAGCATGCACAGGGACACTGAGGAATTTGTGTAATAAACATAAATCCCTGGACAGAGGGGTTCAGTGAATGAGGAGGTGAAGCTGTACAGGAGGGTCAGTCCATCAGAGGAGACTCTGTAGAAGGACAGAGTACCAGCCGCCCAGTCCAAATACACTCCTACTCTGCGGGAGCCTGAGGGCTCTATGGGTATGACAGTTTGTTTATTATTGTGCCGGACAGAGTAATGGTGAGGAGAACAGAACAGCATCCATGACTTGTCATTGGCTCCAAGCCAACAGTCAGCACTCCCACCTTTCCTCCTGATTCCTTTATAAGTCACTCCTATCCAGGCTCCAGCTCCACTCCACTTAGCCTCCCAGTAAGAGCGACCAGTCAGACTCTCTCTGCACAGAACCTGATACCAGCAGTCAAATCTCTCTGGATGATCAGGATATGGCTGCTTTGCCCCCCATGTCACCTTCCTGTTCCCCTCTGACAGAGACAGGTCTCTGTTTGCTGTGTTGGGGTCCAGTGTCAGCTGGCAGGAGTCTGTAGGCAAGAGGAAGAGCGATTAATCCCATCATGTAGCCCAGTATCTCCATCATTATCACTGTCACACCTCACACACTCACTAACACAGAACTCACTCCAATACACACATTTTATTCCCAATATACTCATGTAGCCGCCCGAGTCTGCGGCGCTCAGGCTACCCCCTGCGCTATGAGACACGCCGCGCTGAGAGACTCGCTGGGGACCGAACTGCACTTTAGCCTGCACTCTATTATTCTGTACGGTACATGAAATATAAAAACAGCACAATGTCCCCTAACGAAGCAGGAATTCAAGTATGTGAAATAGCGACGACGGCGGAAACACACGTCAAAATGCTGCCCGTGTAAAACTAACGGGCTTAATTTCAGGTAAATAAAATTCTAAGCAGCACTCATCAAACATGTTAAACATGAAATTGTACCCCGAAGAGAATCACTAAAAGTTAATTTGTATTTACTTCAAAATAAGAACTTCCTTGAAACCACTTCGGACACATACTGTACCTCCCTCCAGCAGCGTTCAGCGCTGACTAATGATGTGCCGGTTCAAAAGATCCGGCTCCTGACCGAGAGACATTTTTATGACTCTGCGGCACAGCACTCCATGCTGCTCTGACTGTGACTGAAGTTTGTAAGAGGGTCTAGCTGCTGACGCCTATGGTAAGCCATTTTAACATTTAATCAAGTGTCACTCCTATCCATAATTACATTTTAGATATACATAATATATCATTTCTCCTAGTCAAAATTATATTCTTACTAGTCAGAATGGCAATTACAGATATCCACAATTGCATTCTTACTAGAAAATGTATCCAACAGATATCTAAAACTTCATTTCTCCTAGTCACAATTCTATTTAAGATATCTTTAAATCTTTAAAAAGTATAAATTGCATTGTAGATATCTGAAATAGGAGTTTTTCCTAGTAAGAATTCAATTTCGGATATCCAGAATGTGAATTCTACATATCTGAAATGTAATTGTGGATATCTGAAATTCTAAGCCCAATAGACATGAATGGCAAAAGTGATGTAATTTCTCCTAGGAAGAATGATGATGTGGATATCTGAAATGACAATTGTGGATAGGAAGAATGTCATTGTGGATATCTGAAATGCTCTTTTTGACTAGGAAGAATTGAATTACGGATAACTGCAATACATATCCAGTCTAGCGATTAAATGTTAAAACGGCTTGCCATAGACGCCTGTAGAGTGGAGCTCCACCCGAAATACGTTACTTCCATAGGAAACACGTGATCTTTAAGGACGTAAAGTGGAGGGTTAGGGTTAAGGTTTATTCCCTGTAACACAGAGTTGAGTTCACATGTTTCCTTTGGAGGTGACGTATTTCCGGTGGAGATCCACTCTACAGGTGTCTGCAGCTGGACCCTTCTCGAAGTTTGTGTTAATGGTGTGCGAGCCACGTGACCAATCACATGATGAGTCAGACAAGGTTCATACCATCAGGTTAAACATAGGGAGGGGCGGGGGTGAGCGTGCTGATGGTGTACAGGTACAGAGCAGGAGGGAGTGAGAGAAAGAGAGGGAGTGTGGTGCGCGAACAGAAGACAAGATGAGTGAGTGTCAGAAACAAAGTGGCATTTGGATGCATTGTAATAGTTATGATAACTCAAAGGCAGAATGCACAATTTATAACATGAAGCTGTCATTTCGAGCAGGGTCCACAAGCAACCTTCACAGACACTTAAGAACTGTGCATCCAACAGTTCAGATGGAAGAAAAAAGACAGGCTAGCATGCCTGCTACTGCCAGAAGCCGGATCAGCCCGTCTAAGCTGAGGCACTTAGCCTTTCTGCCTCTGTTGGGGCCATTTCTAGTATAGACACATTCCTATTTATGGTTTGTGTTTTATTGTATTATATCTCATTTGCTAAGAATACCTGACTACACTTTTTTTTTACATGTTTATTTGGGACTAATAATTATTGCAGCCAGCTATGTCATTTGATTGGTTGAAAATTTTATTTTGGCTGCTTGAACTTTTTTTGGTTAATTGAGTCGGAGCCTTTGGTGCTTAGAAATCACATTAGTCTTTGACTGTGCTCATGCTTGACTGCAATTGCCACGTAAAATAGTTGAATTAGTTTGTATTATTTTCCCTTAGTACTTGAAGAAAGTCTCAATAAAATATTAAAACCAAAGAACATAGCTTACGGAGTTTATCGAAGCACTCCATAGCTTAAGTGGCCGTTTTTTTAAGGAATAGACGGACACACAGTAACAGCCTCAAAGGAAATGTTAAAATGTTACACTGTTATAAAATTGATAGATAGTTGTTATAGTGGATAGATAAAACGAAAAACTGTTGGATGCTGCTGTTTTGCATGTTGTAATTTATATTTTTTTATTTTTTATTTATTTGACTGTGCCACGAACCCGAGGGGTTACATAAGAAAATAAGAAATTTACAAACAAGAGGAGGCCATTCGGCCCATCAAGCTTGTTTGGGGAGAACTTAACTAATAGCTTAGAGTTGTTAAAATCTTATCTTGCTCTGATTTAAAGGAACCCAGGGTTTTAGCCTGCAGTACTTGAACAGGAAGACTATTCCATACTCTAACTACATGCTGTGTAAAGAAGTGTTTTCTGAAATTCAGGTTAAAATGTTCTCCCGAAAATTGCCACCTATGGCCACGAGTTCTAGTATTTAAACTAATATTGAAGTAGCCATTTG